GTCTTTGGTTTCGAGGCTAACTCTAAATCATACGCTGCAATACTCGGGCTCGATTCTAATTTGGGTTGGTTGCGAGACCCAGGTAAGGTCAAACCCCAGTCCAGCCTGGATAGGAATATCTTTTGGAGGAAAAAGCTAACGTGAACTTCAATGGCATTGTGAGGCACACTCGTGCCAACAATCAGACCTTCAGGTAACTAGAATTCTAAGTATTGACTACGAATTTTAGTTATTTTCGGTCGCATAAAAAGTCTTAGGACCATCGATAAATGGATTTTATCACGATCACTTTTCTCTACAGGCCAAGCCTCTCTCGTAATCTGGCCATAAAAGGTCTGTTTTTATATTCAAAATCGTTTTTTAAGGCCGAGCATAAATAAAAAATTAACAATCCTAAATGTGCGTTTGCCAGCATGCAAACTAAGTAGGCCTCCTCCCTATAAATATTATTGCAATGGGAGTAGGTGGCCTGTTAAGAATAGTAAATTGTATAACACTGGTTAACGATAAAAATTGGTATGCAAGAGAAATAGATGGATTCAGTTCGATGACGGCTTGAAAGAAGATAAAAATACGTTCATCCTCTAAGTTGAGAGTGTATGGAGAAAATGTAACTGAAGAGAAGGCAAATGAAAATTACATAGTGTTGTTCGCAAGGAAAAGGGACATTTAAATATACGGACAGCGGCAAGATCACAGACGTCCATAGTAAGCGAGCAGACCTTTTGTGTGACATTTCCAAGAAAGGGAAATGCTAAAAAGGAGAGAATGACAATGTGCCTCTCGTGAATGACTATGAAATGCAATGACATTTGGAGTGGTGATGATGCCTTGGTGGCAAAAATTAAATACTATACTAGGAAAAGGCTACGGGATCCTTGTGAAATGACGCTGAAGGCGAATCGGTGGTAGCCTGAGAGCATGCAGGTGCTCAAATTCAGCTCTACGCGAAAACACACGATCTTGAATGAAATAGATGCAGCAATTCCAAACTATCTGCCTGTGAAAGCAAAAAAGAATTGGTTCTTTGCATCTAAAAGCTGCCTTCAAATTTCAAATGACCATGAGCCTTAAAAGATAAGTAGAGAAATGAGTGGATTGTTTTGAAAAAAAATATGCAAGCAAGGCTCTTACGCACTAAAGTGTGAAGTTGCTTGCTTGTCCGTCATAAAGTTGCTTCTTCGAAAAGCTAGAAAAGTATTTTTGAACCAAACGTTAGAGTAAAGGGAGGTGGTTAAATTGATAAGTAAGTCGATATAAATAGATAAAATGTAAATAAATAGAGCAAATAAACGAAAATACAAGAGATTTCAGCATTCGACAACTGTTGTCCTTGAAAGAATGAACTGGATATAAAACTGGAAAGGCCGATATTCCACATTCCGCGATCGAAGGGTTTGAATGGGCCAGATCGGTTTCTACACGCGGAAGTAGATGAAGCGGCTTGAGTCACGTAGAAACGAACATCAAGCACCGAGTCTATTGCCCCAGAGAAGGGGCAAGCTCTCCGTTGGCCACGATCTAGAAATTGGAAACAAAAAGGCAAGGCATGTGCTGATAAGTGACAATAATTGTTTAGACTTTCGTAAATATTTTATCTTACAAGCCCACTCCCTCCAGTCTGAGGGGGTTTTTTACTGTAAAAATATTCCATAAATTTTGCATTGGTGGCAAGTAGTATTGAAAGTAGTCGATGCAAAGAGAAGTGTTAAGTTCAATGTGCAGTTGAAACAAAATGAAATAAACTATCATAAATGGCGCCCAGGTTGAATATGAGCTATTGTGCATATGAAAAGCAGGTATTGTCTCGGGTTGGACATTATGAATAGGCAAGGCTAGCAAGTGAAATTAAGAGGTATAATTGAATGTTGATAGAAGTTCAAGTCTTCATATGTCATTTACGGGGATGTAAAGAATGATGATTGAGAATTCCACAATAAAATGCCCAGAAAGCCTCGCTAAATTTCACTTGAATTTGCCCACAAAAGGCCTCTTCGCCTGGGCTTGACTGCAGTTTAAACGACTTTCTGGTCTCATCAACAATCAAAAAGGATTCGAAACCAGGACGTTTGCGTCAAATGTCAGCCACACAGCAACGGGTGCCAGCGAATCATAGGCCAGACGAAACTATCAAGTCGAAATTCTCGCAAAGCACATTATATATATATACATATATATGATATCCTTCATGTTTAATATTCTTACTTATTACTGATTATTTTAGCACGGCAGAATCGGAAAACTACCTTGTTCATCTCGGATTTTCGTAATCCCATT